GGCTGGCAAGTCTGTGGGGGGAAGAGATGGGGGTGGGGGACAGATCAAGGCTCCAATAGTGAGGGATGGAGTGGGACTGGGGCAGGGCCTGCCCAGCTGGGGCAGGGCGGGGCATGGGACAAAGCTGCTGGCGGCTCATCAGGGGGGCGCAGGAGGGATGGGGGGAGGTGATGGCTCCCCACTCCTGCATGCACCCCTGGGTGAGGCATGGGGGGGCATAAGCCCCCCAGATTTGTACATGGAGCAAGGGCAGGCTGCCCACTGCAGGCTCAGAGCCAGGGGCTACACCAGCCTCTTCTCAGTGGGTGGGGCTGGGGGCTACACTCAGTACGGGCAGGGACGGGGCAGGCAGCAGCACTGGGAGGGGAGCTACAGTGAATTTTGGGGTTGCTGCAGCCCACCCCATAGCCCCACTCCCAGTGTCACTGCTGCCTGTCCCATCCCAAGCACAGCCTTAGCCCAGCCCCCATGCTGGGAAGAGGCTGGCACAGTCCCCAGCCCCGAGCTTGCAGCAAACAGCCCACCCTCACCCCACACACAAATGCAGGGGGATATGTGACCCCATGCCTCCCCTGGGAGTGTGTGCAGTGGCAGGAGCCAACTCCTTCCCACCACCCAGATGAGCTACCCGCAGCTAGGTCCTGTGCCCTGCCCCAGCCCCACTCCCTCCCTCACCATGGGGGCCTTGATCTTGTCCCTCCTACACCCCTTCCTCCCCACAGACTTATCAGCAGGCAGCTGCTCTCCAAGCTGCTGGGCTGCATTCCTGACCACATGCATGCTGCAGCTACATGCCTGCACACAGCATTTATCAGTGACATTATTGGCTACTCCAGTCAAAAAAAGCCAATTGCTGATAATGTCAATTTTACTTTTATCAGTGCTGATGCTATGTGGACCAATATATTGGCATACCTCTACTAGTTTTCCCAAGGCCAAACAGAATTCTCATTGTTAGGATATACTTTCTAATATTTAGTCTCAAGTCTTTGCTTAAAGTTCATCTTATTTACTTCTAATATATTCTAGAGAGAAGTACCATACTGACCATATCAGAAAGCAGTCCTCCTATCATAGAAAACTTCATACCCTATCACCAATAGTGGCCAAGGTACAAGAACCCTCAGGTTGGAAGACAGAAAGGAATTCTTCCTATGGGAAGGATAATCTCAACCACATCATATCTGGTTTATGCCTCGACTCATGGAGGTTTCCACCCCTTCCAAGCTTAACAGAAAAACAAAACAAACAAAAAATCAATGCTTTACTTACAGTTGTTTCAGATGCTCTCAATTTTCATATAAACCTACAATCCAATTTGATTTCTTCTAAGTGCTTGTCCTCAGTGACAGACAAGGTTCCTTGGGTGAATTTGATATCTTTTATTAGTCCAACCCAAATGGTTGGAGAATAGTTATTAAGCAAGCTTTCGGGTTCAAAAACCCTAAGGCTAAGCTCAGTCCTCAGTGATGCACTGTATCAACAAGATCCAGGGGTCATACATAACAGTTACACAAAGTATTTCTCTGTATCAGTTTTTTGTTTCCTACTATGCAATTACAGTGAATACCCTCTTCCTAGTCACTGTTTCTAAGAAGATACAAGTAGCTAATTTTATATTACTGTTATTAACCACTCTACACTTTTAATCTCCTCATGTGTCACTAATTTGACTCTAAATTTCCAACCCAGGTGTATCACTGACAAAAAAAAAAAATCAGAATTCCAACCTTAATTCTACTATCTCACATTTTGCAAATCTAACATGAGAGAAAGAGAGAGAGAGACACAAAGAGAGAGAGAGAGAGAGAGAGAGAGAGAGAGAGAGAGAGATTTTCATTTGGAGATGTGAACCATAAACTACCATCTGAGTTAAAAGATGAATCTTAGTTGGGAGATTATACATGAGTCACCTTCAAAACAAAAAATGGTTAAACCTGCATAGTTTACTCCATTTAACAACATAAACAGTCACAAATACTGAAACAATCTTTTTGGGAGAGACACAGCTAAATGAAGGAGCTTGAGTTTACCACATTCAGATATTGGAATTCTAATTTCTGTTCCACCAAAAGGAGCTTCTGTAACTTCTCTGTGTGGTGTGAGATCTTATTCAATAATTCTGGGCCCTTCACACTTCATTGTATGGCAGTCAGGACAGAAATAATAATTTCCTGGCTTCTGTTTCAATGTAACCTCCTAGGTTACATAGAACATTTTACAAGAAGAGAGAGAAAGAAACAAGACTGGAAGAAACAGATTCATTTTGCCTGTGTGCTATCCACAGATTTGAATCAGTACAAAGGAGCAACCACAAAAACAAGCAAAAGAGAAGAAAGTTCAGGAGAGAGAATCTTGGCTGACTTGAGATAAAAGCCAGGATGATAGCCTACCCAGCTAAGACCTATAGAAAATTTCAATTCCCACCCCTCAAGCACATGCCATCCCACTCCTTTAAAGATGCTCAGTGAACATTATGGCATACTTATGCAGACATTTTGTATATAGTAAATTATTTTTTAAGTCTCCATTGAATTCGTTCTTTTCTTATTTGCTTCCTTCATGTCATTTTTCCTATTTCTCTACATCTCTACTTTCTTGGTCTTTTACCTTCAGTAGCAGCGCTCTACATTGCATAATAATGTAGCTTTCCTTCTCTTCCCTCTCTTTCTTATCCTAAATTGTCCATTACGGGAACACTAAATGGTGAACAGCAGTAACAGATTGTGTCAAGGATACATAGGTGTTTTTCAACTGATCAGCACCAGGCTGTGGGGACCATACTTGGCTAAAATATCTATGCATCAGTGGAATAAACTATTACATGCATAGATGGGGAGAAGGAAGAGACACACACCTTAGCTTCTACCTGAAGCCCCACTGAAAAGTCTAATGCCACCTCAAGGATGGTGAGGTTTTTACACTTCAAAAACTGCCTACATACAAGGTAGAAAAAGTTGGAAGGGTTGGAAAAGAAGAGAAGCCATTATCAAGGATCAGAGATTATATCACATACAAAGAAAAACATTGGAAAAACTGGGATTATTTAGGTTGGAGAAAAAAAATGACTGACAGGTTATTTGACAATAATCTTCATATACAAAAAGGGGTGTTATAAAGAGGATGATGACTGGCTATTCTGTGTCTATGGGGAACATAACGAACAACACTGGTTTTAAACTGCAACAAGGAAAAAGTTATGGGGGATACTAGATAGAACTTTCTACCTGAAAGGATGGTTAAGCAGTAGGGCTGCTTGCAGACATGGAAAAAAAACCCAAAAACAAAAGTGCTTTATTTTAAATTCAGCATGCTTATGCCCAGAAAAGGCAGCACATTAGTTCAACCCAGCTGTGCAGTGTCTGTATAGATTGGGTGGTTTAGCGGGCCTTTTTTGGCACTTTTATCTAATAGCTGATTGAATGCTTTAGTGGGCCTTTTTTTGGTGCTTTCATCTAATAACTGATTCAATCTATATAGATGCTGCAGAGCCAGGTCAAACTAATACACTGCTTCTTCCAGTAAAACACATTCTTCCCCCCCCCCCATCTGCAAGTAGACTAGAACAATTACTGAGGTCATGGAATCTACATCATTGAATGCCTTTAAGGGCAAGATAGACACACTCTTGCAATGGTTTAAATGGGGCTGATCCTACCTTGAACAAGGTACTGGATTGAGTGACCTCCAAGGGTTCCCTTCCAGCCCTATTTTGCAAAAGTACATGTAGCTGCTTTAGCAAGAAGCAAGGAGACACTTTGGGAATGTGCTCTGGGCAGACAATGTTGTGGAGTTTTAGTGACAAGCCTTTGCCAACTCCAGGACCATCTCCCAATCAAATTACAAAGGCACAAACCAAGGAGCCAAATTAACTCTTAAAAATGGCAGGAAAAAAACAACAATAAACAAATGGGAAGTGTCTGAAAGCCTTAAATGGAGGTTACTACTGCTCTTCCAATAACAACACTGTATATTAATCATTATTTTGCATCTCATTCCTTATAAATCCTAACGCTTTTTCTTTTTGATTCCCACTAAAGGAATATCCACAGACTGGAAAATGACCTTGCTATTATTGTGGGCTTACTTGTTACAGTTAATTTAGAATGCAAACGTATAGCAGTAGCTCAAATTACTCTGATGTACACTAGCTTGTGTTGACCACTGCTGAATTTCATGTTATTCATGTTAATGAATTTCATGTCATTTACTTAATTTTCTTATGGCCCTCTGGATTTGTTCAGCATTCTTTGATCATGAGTAATGTACATAAATGTGTTGGGTTTTTTTAACATAACTTCTTTACTGCTCACTCTCTATTCCAGACATCTTTCCATTGGGGTTTTTACACCCATCACATATTTTAAGAAAACATGCTTTAGTCATCTCAAGTTCTCCTTCCAGCCTCCAGACAGGTTATATTGGTAAGTGAAATTCCCTTTCAGTTTGTTTGCTGTACCTCAAGACTCACTTGAATATCTAACTGGAATAAGTACCCAGCCTGAAAATAGACCTTAGTGCATTTTCCTCAGAACTCCCATCTAAACACAAACCATCTGCTTATAGAATGAACACGAAATGAAAAAAAAGTCACTTGTTCTATCCAGACACCCTGATGATGATTATCCTCATACCACACACAGAGAACCCCTCAATACAGTATGGTGGACCTGGCAAAAATGCAGAAATTGGATTTAACATGACTCTCAAAAGACAGTCTCCTTCCCCCAATTCTACAATTGAAGGACCAAGGTGGTCCAAATGTAGGTTCACAAAAATCAACAATTTCTATGTAAAGTTCACCTTAGATACAAGCACAGTCATGTATCAGAAGCGACTGATATCCATCCCTATTAATTTAGATTCAGTATGATGTCCTGGCATGTGCATGCATGCACACACATACACAATCTTAAAACAGGGGTGATCATGAACTGCAACAGTCTTGTTTAATAGATACCCGCCTGGCCCCCAAACTCCGCAACTAAGCTAGTTCTCACCGAGGTTTCCATCTTCAATGGTCAGTACTACTTCATCCATCACCAAAGCCCGAAAATCTAGTTCCTCTTCACAGCACTTAGCCTTGAGTGCCCTCAGGATCTCCTGCTGAGGGTAGTCTTCTCTGATGCGACGGTCTGTTAAAAACCACAGCCTGGGAGCAACTGAGCTGCACATCTTGGACTAGGTCTTGCAACCTCCGGGGTTTCTTTTCAACGAAGCTTCTAGATAATAAAGAAAGTAAAAACAACAAACACATTAGTGTAAAAAAGTTCTGTCCTCAGCCCTCCCTCAGCCTCTAACCTTTTCCCTCTACACCATTGATTCCCAACCAAGGAGGCTTGAGATCCTTTTAAGAGTGTCCTGGGGTACCATGAAACACTAAATGTGCAAACTCATACATCTGATTTGCAGCATAAACCCAGAGTTCAAATAGGAATCTAAAGCATCAAAAACATTCCAATCTTGTGCTCCAAGTTCTCTGCAACAGAAGAATCGTGCTATTGTTTTTCCATCATTAAGACACAAGTAACAGCTAAATGCTGGCATTTTCCAGGCGATGCCTCGAGTCTAAAAATGTTGAAGACTATTGCTCTACATGTAGCTGTCCTTTCAGCATAAAAACTTATAACTTGATTCACAGGGGAACAGTACAAAGGTTAATCAGTAACAGATGTAAAAATAGTAGTAACAAAGTATGTTCACTAAGTGATTGCCTGGTAACCTGTGAAACAAGTTCTGGGTCTTCAATCAAAGCTCTAGTGCAGTGGTTTGCAACCTGTGGTCCATGGACCCCTGGGGGTCTGCCGACTATGTCTAAGGGGTCCACGAAAGATAACTGTGATCAAAATTATGTGAATACCCACACTTACAATTCAAAGGGGACTGCACCTCCAGTCAATTTTTTTTAGGTGTCTACAAGTGAAAACAGGTTGAAAACCACTGCTCTAGTGCAAGCAGTACCCCCAAGACAGATCTATTACAATTGGGATATCCATAAAAGTCAGAGTATTGTCCCAATTTATTCATGGCAAACAAAGGCAAAAAATGAAATGATTTGTTCAAGATCATAGATTCAGCTTACAGGAAAATCAAGTCCAAGTACCAGTTCAGTTCCTTTGTCACAAAACCACCCTTCCTTATACATGGAAAACACCAGTGGACTTCCATCTCCCACATATAAAAATTGTAAATTATAGCATGAACACTGTTAGTGGAGATTACAGCTAAGGAAGTACAGATGTACACTATTACTGCTTCCTTAGTTTGACTACACAGAGAACTTTAGTCTTTAGTTACTGACATGGTACATTTGCCATCTGCTTACAAAAAAGCCTCTAACATGTCCAAGGAAGACTATTATGCAGACAAAAAACCCCCACCAAACAAACAACAACTTGTTCCTATTATGTAAATTTTCCTCAACATCTAGGACAGAGCATATGTTAAGGAAAGAAATTCTTGAAAATACTGGAGCAGCCCACCTGCAGATTTAAACTATAGATTTGGTCCACTTACAGTTGTCACTGATCAGCTACGTAAGTGTAGCTGCACTGGCATAAAGCCCTAACACTGACAACATCATCACTGTCAACACGGGTTTCAAGCAGAAGTGAATCTGCTGGTACAAGCAGCCACTTTGCCCGACCATACTAGAAACACACAATCCAGTGCCTGGTTAATGGATGTAACAAGACAAAATGTATTTTAATTCATTTATTAGAGTTATATGGTATTTTTCCAAAAAGCAGAGGGTGGCTTACAAAATTACTTATGAAAAACAAGCAAGGACTTCCCGAACAATACATCAACATAGCCTTGTTTCTTAAATGCCTGCCCAAATAAAAGATCTTACAGCACTTAAAACATGTCTAGGCTCAGACTCTGACAGGTCACAAGAGGCACAGACTTCCAGAGCAGAGAAGCTACTTCAGAGAATTACCTTCCACGTGTTTTCACCAAGCAAATTTGGCATTCAGATTCATAGACTGTAAGGGCTGGAAGGGACCTCGCAAGATCAGATAATACTTCCAGGAAGGTGCTCTCAGCTGATCTTAGGGATTGAGATAGGACATAAGAGAGAAGAGAGAAGGTATGTAGGGCCAAGATTGTTCAAGGCAGCAATTCTTGGTAAGGGTGCCATGAGATTCTTTCAAGGATGCCACACAATATTAGTACTTTTGGATGTGCAAACACTTACACATGATTCACAAGATAAGTGCAGAGATTTCAAATAGGAATCCATGTTGTCAAAAATATTCAGACCTGCTATGGTCTTTTTGAGTTCTTTGCAACAGAATTGCTTTATCCTTCTATAGTCAAAAAACAAGTGAAAATTAAGAGCTGGCATTTTCTGATGGGTCCCTTGAACATACTGAGGTTGAGAACCAGTAGTTTTGAGCCCTGCAGGGCAAAAATCAGCATGATGAATTGCGTTCAAAAAGCAACTGGAACCAATGCAGACTCTGAAGCAGTGCACTTCTGCCTGACCAACTCCATCAGGTGAGCTGCCCCTTTCTGCACCAGGTTCCAAATGATCAAGGCCAGTCCGACGTAAAGCCCACTGCAATAGTCTAGGCTCTACATCTAGAAGGCTAGACTAAAATAAATCTAGCCTCTAAACCTTATCTAATCTGCACAAATTCCATGTGCAGGCAAGCAGTTCTTGAGTAGAGAGAACCTACTTCAAATCATATTCAGAACTGTTTTGGGACGGGCAACCATAAAAAAATAACTACGTAAAATCCTTTAAAATTAAAGTTTATGCTCTCTGCTGCTACTTAAGGCTATGTTAAACAGTACAAGAATCAAATTAAAAGAACGGTCATATTCACTCCTGCTATTTTGACAGCAAGTAACTGTCAAAGATCATATCAACATTGTGCTGCTCCTAGTGCTTCAGAAACTTAAAAGCAGCAACAGGATCACCTCTTCTACCTCTTTATTCAGATGAAAGGGAAAAAAAACCCCAATAAACCCCAGAAGCAAGTAGGGTAGTACCTGTTCCCTACAGCAACTAAAATGTTCATGTTTGAAGCAGGAAATTGAATGCTTTCTCCTTTCAGCAGCAGAGTGAAGTTTGCGAGAGAAACATTTCCAGTTTTACACTCCTAGTAGGGAGAGGCCAATACAAAGATACAAAACTGGGTCCAGAGCACTAAGACTCTGCTGCTTTCTAAACAAGAGAGAAGGGAAAGCTGAGCTTACACTGGCTGGGAATTTGACCCTACCCACTTTCCTCTCTTGCATCAGATTCTGAGTAGGTTTTTTTTCCTCTGGCTAGGTTATCAGAGTTCTCTTTGCATAATGTTAAGAATGCAGTGGAAGAGGATGTTTGAGCTTTACTATTACCAACAGTAAGATGTTCAGGAAGAGCCAAACTTAGAAGCTTTTAGTTTATTTGACCCCCTTTATGCTCTCTACCAACAGCTCCTTACTATCAAGGAAAGAGAGAGAACAGCATCACCTATTGTTTCTTTTCAAAAGCATGCTACCTGCTTGAGAAAAGCCACCCTGCCTCATTTTAAGACCAACCATGAAATATTAAGCACATCCCAGACAAACATTTTTATTTTAAGATCAGGTCAACCAAAAGCCCTTACAGATCCCATACATGTGCATCTTTTACCACTGGTTTTGACACTGGTGTAAGGGAACAAATTTGAATTCTCTCCTACACTATTAGTCTTCCTTACCACCAAAATGCCCTTCAGTTTCTCTACCATTACCACAGGGTCTGCTCCTTCTAGCCCTCTTTTTCTCAAGTCTCTTCTTCCTACATTGTTCCATCCTATTGAAGAAGCAGAAGTTCTATTAATTATCTCCTGGTCACTGGTTTTGCTGCCCTTTGACTTTTTCTTAAGAGCAAGAATGAAGCTAGAGGTTATAAGCCCTTTCTTAGCCTTTGTTTCACCACACAGTATCACAAGGAGCTGGACCATGACCATGAAAGAGAGAAGTTACCTAGACACTGCCACCTACTTATTAAACTATAGGGATTTCAGGAACGCTTTGGGCAGCTATCCGTCTCCCTAGAATAAAACATTCTAGAACACTTTCCATCTAAGAATAATAAAGTATTTTATAAAAATTAAGATTGACCTCCCCCCACCATTGTGAATCAGGTAGGCAATACCCTCACTTTCTTGGCAGGGAAACTGAGGACAGATGACTGACATGCCTAAAAAGTCAAAGGGCAGGCAGTAGCATAAATGGGGCTAGGACTCCAAGGTCCTGTTTGCCAAATTCCCTGTCAAAAAGACAGACTAGACATGGCAGTTCCAAGCTCTGATTAATATTTTCCATGGTCAAAATTCTCATTATTGGGGATATACTTAAAAAAACCCAGCAATTTGTTCTATTAATCTGGAAATGTCAAGGTTCCCTCCTATGTTCCTGAGAACATGGTCTTTTGAGGGGAAATGTTCCCTTCAAACAGCTACATACAGCATTAAGCTTTTGAGTAGAATGTACTTTCCTAAACTCCTCCTCAAAGACAACTCCACCCTCTTTAATCTAACAGAGATGTAGCCTGAGACAATGCTGGGTGTGTGCTAAATACTTCCCCCTGTCTATAGGAGCAAAGAATCCAAAATAGGTGTGTGCCAAGAAGGCAGGGGACAGATATTTAAAAAGTCTTAGGAATTAGAAGTGGCTGAAACCCCTTTACTCTTAAGCCATAATGGCAAAATTCAGAACAATCTTTGAACAGATGCTCAAATCACTTAGGTGACCAAAAGTGAGGACTACAACAAGAAAAATCCATCAGAGATTTGACTCATGGTTTCTGCCTCAGCAAAAACAAGTACTGATAAATGCCAATCAACTATGCCTGCACTCACTCATATCTGCTTTGGATAAATATCACAAACCCTTCAGCAATTTGATTATAGATTAAATGAAAGCATCACTCTACTACTGATGTTAGTTTTCACTGTGGCATCCACATACCAGTACTTTTTTCCCATTTTTACCTCTTCTCCTGCACTCCCTAACTGCCACCCTGTTACCTGCCAATACTCTATATAATAAAACTTGCATGATCCGAGGCAGTTTAAGTATCTAAGCATAAGGAGGAAACAGGCTAATCAAACTGGGTCTCTGAAGAATCCCTGGAAACATTTATTTATCCCTAAAATGGGTATACCAAGTAATGCCCACCGATCTGTGCCCTACAGTTAAGTAACCAACTCCAACATGAAGTCTAGGCTTCATGGACACCTCTATTCTTTGTCTTTTCTGCTTGAGCTTTCATAGACAATTATGGCAACCTGTACTTTATCTTTTACATAGTATGGCAGGTTATCCTGTGTGTGCTGGACTAAGACCCATTTTCTATGAGAAACTGAACAGTTCTCAGCTAGTAATGATTTTCCTCTCAACTAATGGGTGACTTAGCAAATTGTTCTACACCCCATCCTCTTAAAGTGCAACTATCACAAAAAATCTCCATGAAAAAAACAGGAAAAAAACCCCAAAGGGAGTTCCCTCCATTTCTTCCCTCCAGGAATACTGAATGAAAAATCCAGAGGTTTCACAACATTAGGATTACAGGTTACAGGGGTTTCGCAACATTAGGATTACACGTCATTTGGCCACCTCAGTAATCTGAGTTGTGGCACGTTCTTGCTGTCTGCAGTAAGGCTAAGAACAAAAAAAAATTATCACTAGCCTCTCTCTGCATTACCTCTTTCCTAGTTTTGAGTCAGATCCCAGTGCCACTTACAGCAGCATGTATTCAAACTAATTCCACTGATTTCAGCGAAGCTATTGACTGGAAGACAAGATCTAGTCCCACCTTTTTATTAAATTCCCAGCTCTGACTTTGGAGTCATACTGATAAACAAACAACATTCTGGAAGTGGGAGAAGCCACTCACTATGGGGAGCAGCTGACCAAGAAAAAAAACACCCTTATCCATGCACCTGACTATAAAGAGAATTGCATTCTTTTATTTATACTGTGTAGTGAAACACCTATCCTTATTTTTTGTTTGTATATGAACTGCATTATTAGGGTGGGGAAAAGCATTTTAATTTCCTTCTTGAATTAGCAGATGCTTGAGAGGGTAGGATAGGTTTAAAACATAATTGTGCTTATTCCATTACAGCAATTTCTGCAACCATGTTTTGGAAGCCCCATCAAGATAAGAGGATCCAAAGGCTTTCAGGATACTGTAATTGCAATATAGGAGACATCAATCCATGACAGAACAGAATTATAACACCAATTTCAAGATGGGGTTGAGCTGTTAGCCAAGTAATATCCATCAGGCTGGTGGGAAAACCTCTGAATGAATTTTGCAGTCATTATACATGGAAGAGAGCAATACTTGGGCACATTATAGAAACACGACCAATCCCTATGTCATGGTGAGAACAGCAGCTGGAAACTGACAAAAAATCATGAAAAATGAAATATCAAAACCAACATGCTAGGCAAGATACCAAGGTGACAGGCATCCATGAAAAACCTAACACAAATAGTTGTACATCAAAAGAACACCCGAGCAGAAACAGATACATAGAAAACAGAAATAATACACTGATCATTCATTATGACTGCTTTAAAACCACTTTAAAATAAATAATTGAAACAATACTCAGCCTGGTCCTGACAACCCTAAAGTGAGGCCCAGGTATTTCAAGTAGTTAGTTGTAGGTTTTTAATGGCATATAACTGTTTGTGGGGCTTTGGAGAGAACTAAAGACTTTAAAAAATAAAACAATGATAGAGAGGATATAAAATAAATGCTGAGGTATCCTGAACAGCAGTACAGTCTTGTCCATTGCTGCTGCATGCCATCCATCCTCCCTTTATACATGGTTGTCACTGCAGAAAGGTGATCCCAAAGCACAGGCACTGAATTCACACCCCTCTCCTCCCCTCAATACACAGATTCCCCCCTCTGAGATTTGTAGAGACCGCAGCAGTCAATAGAGAAGAGAACATATTAAGTGCTATGTCTGAAAAACAGACAGCAGGATGGTAAAACATAAAACATTAGCCTTCACCCCCATTCCTTCTCAGCATGCCCTCTCCTGCAGATGGGCAAATACACAACTGCATACAGTCTCAGATACAAATATCCCCACCCCCTTTTCTTTCCTCATCTATCTTCATGCTTGCAAGTAGGTGATAAAATCCCTTACTCTCACCCCCCCAGGTCCAGATCTTCTGTAAGGAATCTGTTCCCTCCCCTCTCTGCCTCACAATGCTGGTATTGGTCAACAGGAAAGATCAAAGGGATGGCTGAGTTGCATAGCATCACCTTTTCTTTCCCCTCCCCAAACACCCTCTCAGACACTGCCTCCTCCCTTACTGTGCCTGTGCCAGGTATAAATTTCCCCCATCGGTTTTCTCTGAGGACAGCATGCTTGTCCTTGTTCCCCTGCAGTGTGGGTATGTGAAAGCCCCCCACTCTTCTTGATCTGTGTGTACACCGCCAGTTTCCCCAGTTTCTTTGCCCCACCTTGCTCTTAATCTTTATGCATGCTCCTCTCCTAATTCCTAGAGTGGGGAGGGAAGAGAAAAGCACAGTGAATGAATGAGGGAAGGAAGGAATGAATAAATGTGGTGAGACTTACCAGAGATCTGAGGAGCACGAATGGGAGATGAAGGAATGCCAAAGATGGGTGCTTCTTTCAGTGTCCTCAGCAAATGCTGTTTTGATCCGGATTCTCTCAGTTGAAATGCTGTCTTTCTAGTACCTCCTGAGAAGAATCTGGAAATGAAGTCCTTTCAGTGTCTCTCTGCTCTGCACCCCAAAAGAGGGAAGATGTCTGTAGTGGATCCCACAAAGCAAATGAAGGGGTGATGAGGATTACGCTCGCCTGTTCCTATAATGGGTGATAACTAGCTGATGCCCCAATGACCAAGGTGTGTTTGGGGAAGGAAGGAATGAAGGGCTGTTAAAACTGCTTCCCAACTCCTCCTCCCCCCAGGGAAGAAGGGTGGTGGTGAGTAAGCAGACTGATGTAGAAACAGAATTGTCTGTGCAAAATAGTCTCACTCAGCATCTCTATTTCCTCAGAAGTAACCCCTTCACTGAGAGAGACAGAGAAAGATTCATATTAAACACAAAAACCCCTTGCCCAATAAAAAGGACATTAGATTCCAAGGAGAACAGAGTGATGAATACAAAATGGTAAGATACACAACCAAAAGATCTCATGGACCTCATTTTGGTGAGGAGGGAAAATCATTTTAAATCAGGAAATGGTTTACAGAGCATATGTTCTGACATTTCCCCCAAAACTGGGATGTTTGGAATGGAAACAAATTAAAATTTGAAGCATTTTATTACATGCATGTGCATGTATAATGGCAGTATGTTTAGAGAGAGAGAAATCAGTGCTTCTAAAGTAACACAACTAGGAAATCCTATTCTCTAAAAAACTGAGAAAATTGTTTTCAGCATTGTATGACTGAATCCCAAGACAAGCAAGGAAACAGGGAGCTGAGGAGAGGCATGCTGCAAAGTGAGCAACGTGTTCCTCTGAAGGAATCACAGCCCCCCGCCCAAATCCACTGGCATTGGGAGCAGACTCAAGCCCCTCGAAACCGCCAGCCCTTTCTGAGAGGCGTTTGCTTTACGTGACTGAACCAAACATGAACCATGGAAAGAGGAATGCTGGCGTGGCATTGGGCGAGCACCGGCTTTCAGTGCGGCATCAAGGGAGCCAACATCTGCACTGATTCAGTGGGGTGGATGGTGGGAAAGACAACAAAAGAGAATAAGGGGGACCCTGGTGCAAGGGGAGGGCGGGGGTGTCAAGGAGTCTCAGCAGCAGGAAAGTAAGTACAGATAACCCACTCCCCACTGAGACACCCCTAATCACAGTGGGGGGACTCAGCACATGAGTGTGAACAGAGGCCGTTTGGCTAGGCACTGGCTACCTGGCTGCGCACCAGGGGCGAATGGCTCTCAGCCCAGGGCTGTGCGCTGGGGGCGGGAGCAGGATACGCAGAGATGAATGATGCATGTGGAAACACACGCAACACACACCCTTGCATATATGGGATCACACACACACACACACACACACACACACGGGCTAACACATAGATACACCCCCACACGTCACAGTGACACACACATATATACACCCCCCCGCACACCGCTAGTGACCCTCACACACCCCCACCCCGCTACCTCATCCCCCCGCCCGGAC